ACCCTAACTAATAATGAGAAACTTTGCATAAAAAATGTGACAGGTAAACTAGCAGTGATATTTACTTGGAAACAATGTGCTAGTGAATGAAATTTTTGGGAGAATCTCCCACCGGGACTTTTCCTTACTTCCTCTTTACTTAGTTTATTGGTTTAGAACAGAATATCATTGAATTTCCAAGACAACGTCGAACTGTTTTTAAGGTAAAAATAACTCATTAAAAAACATTTTAAATACTCTTGTTCGATCTCTAGATAACGACGGAAACGTGTTTATAACAAAAACCCCGATTAAGATGCAGATAAATAAGAAACAGAAACTGAAGAAAACAACAGAAAATATTCAATATTATTGGAATTATTACATTTGAAATATAAAGTTACGTAGGTAGGTATAAACAGTGGAAAGTAACAGAACCATCCTTTCGATTATTCGATTAGGCGAGTTTTTATTATACATGTACAAGAAATCCGAACGTAATCAGAAAGGTTCAATTCATTAAGAGCCAAACCATCGCCCAAAACCATTATATAAGACATTTAAAAGATAAAAATGGTTCCAATTCTTAAAAAGATGTTAAACGAGTGCGGTCCCGATTCGAGAAATGCGACCGTAAATTAGAATTTCCTGTTGTCAGATTAGATACAGACCGAAAGGTGGGCCCAGCTCGTGGGATAATGTTGCAACCATATGTAAAATGATTTGCATTTAGCCTCACACACAATTTAAATTATTGATATTCGATCGATTGTAACAATATGCAAATTAATTCGGATTTAATCGTGCCCATTGCATCGGCGATTCTTTGTAAACAGCTGGTACGCCATAAGTTATGCATTTCGAACTTACTTTTATTTGTTTTGTTGCCATTACTTTACCTTTTACCTTTAGACAGTAATACAGGATATTGCAATCTTAATACATCATTTTTCGCTCATCTTTGTTATTCAACTCTTCCGTTTAACTGGGAAAATACATTACATTTTTGTCTGCCTATTTTCAAAGCTTTCTCAAATTCCAGTGTTTCATACGCAGAACCGAGGCAATTTACAATAATTATTTAGATGCAAATCACCAGGACTATAAGAGGGAATTTAATTTCAAAGCCAACAAATCATTCGGACATTTCGCTAGAGCTAGTTGATAATGTCTGCTTCGAAAGGCATCTGACTCGATTTGCATATTATAGCGACCCCGCCAAACGCGGATGAAAAAAATGAACAAAACCGATTCAACTTGCGACTTTGTGAGATTTCAACGACCTCGAATTTGAATCCCGATGCAAAACGATCACGCAGAGTGGACGACTCTGAAATTGCTGGGCTCAAAATATTTTTGATCTTGAAAAACGACGAGTGACAGAGTTTCGGATAAAGTATGTCTTTGTATTTCAATCCAAGGGCAGCACCGCGACCGTACATTAATCACAATAGATTTTACATTATTTTACCTGCATCTGGACATGGTTTTTATGTTTAAGAAACCATAACATAAAATAAATATTTTTTGTTTCCGCAACACATTTTTTATTAGTGTGAAATTATCCTGTACATGTTGTTTCCTGTGGCATTGACACAAGAGATGTGAGGTAATGGAGTAGAGGTTCAAAATACCAGTAAACCAGCATAGTGGATGTTTGCTGCTGGATACTAATCTTTTAGCATTAGACCCATTTTGGATAGGCATCAAGGATGTAATTTGAATCAGAGCAATCGCCAAAGCAAACCATCAACAACGGCGGTGATTGTCAACGCTTTGAAAAATAAGCGATAAAACTTGATGGAAGTAAAAAGTCTATCAATTTTTTTCAAATTCCCAGTTTCTTATTTCCTGTTGTACCGATGACGATAGCGGAAGGTTAAAGGTGATACTTATAGAATGTTGATAAAGCATCAGCCGAAAATGACAAGAAAGGCGCCACCCTCGTCATTTAGATTTGGCTGCCAGATTGGAAACAAATAAGTATTCGACGTCAGGAGATTCGTCATCTCGTGTTTCAAATTTATAATGTCGCCACCATGGTACCGCGGGAATAAATCGAGCCATTTACATGGGTTCTGGTCGGGAGGTTTGTCCATAAGTGAATTAACAAGTGGCTATGTGAATAGACTGCTAAATGAATTTGTAGTAGGGTATTTGCTTGTTTCATGGACTCACTAAATAGTAGGAGGAATTATTAGAACAGAGACAGAGAACAGAAATATTGAAATCTACTGCTACAACTTTTGCACGTATAAATACAATCAGATCCAAGTCATTGGCAAATTACGTAAAAAAAGGCGAGAGATTATTATTAACATTACAATAAGAGCAAGACTGAAGTGAGAGAACCAGTTTCCATCTTTATATCTGACTATACAAAATTATAAATTATCCAAAAATCATTAAAGAGCTATTTTTTGAAAATCTTAATTCATCCATTACAACTGTGGATATTGGCAATGAAAGGATTGGTTCAAAAGTCAATAACGCAAATGCAATCTAATCGATTTTCGTATGTGCGACGCAAAAAGACTATTTTTACGAAACGTTTAGCCGAAACAACACGGAAATTCTAAAGCAGAATGTGTAATGTGCTTTGAATACGCTGATTCCACCGGAAGTTTAATGGGTCTTGTCTATAAATACTTTTGAAAACCTCAAATTTTCTTAAACACTGAATTGTTAACAACTGATGACGAGCTTTTTGTTCAGGTTTTATTATAAATTAGTGAAAAATGGATTGCTTCTTATTGCCACTAAAAAAAGCGCAAATTTCCTCTTAGAATATAGATTATTTAACCAGATAGCCGGACGAGCAATAAAGTATTATTTTATCTGGGAAACATGTTTGAACTTCTTAATTTACTTTCCTACGGTTTCTTCAAACCTTTTTCTTTACCTTCGCAAAACGGTTCACAGTAAAAAAATTTGCGAGTCGATGACCAATGTGATAATTTTCAAAAAAATGTCATGTAATTTTCCAACGAAGTAATTCAAAGGCTCACAAAAACACCAGAATGCAGTTCTATGCATTCCCAAAGCGACAAAAAATATTAAATCAATTGCACTTGCTCGAGACTAGTTCAAATGTCCCATGTGTCCAAATGTCCAATAAACAATAATTTTTTATAGCAAACCTGGCTATGCTTTATACGAGATGAATGTACGTAAAACTTCTACAGTTTTGTCATACACATCTTTTAAATTTAACCAGATATTAGGAAAGGTGGTCTGCAAGTTTCGATATAATGTAAAAGATGGGAAAACGTACACGATTACTGACGATTCATTTAGGAACGTTTGTGGTGCGCCACTGTGTACAGTTCAATTTGGAAAATGTTTTGTCATTCGCATTTTATCCTAGCTCTAACAGTTGTAAAGAAATATGAAAATTTCATCATTGATTTCAAGAGATCATTTATTTACATTTTTTTTTTAATTTCAATTTCGGGAAATTTCTCAACATTTCAATCTGAATTATATTAGCAATACTATGAGAGAGCTGGCGTAGTTTTACATCAAATATTTTTTGCCCATTCTTTGTGGAAACTTAGTTCAGATCTCAAAATGAAATTTTGCAACCTTGATTTTTTTTGGCAAAAAGTTCTCTCGGATTCTTTTTTAATAATTCGATTCCGGTTACAACTAGGATATAAATTCAAAGACAAAAACATTTTTTTAAATTGAACGTGGAACCACAGCATGTGCATTTGCAAACTCTTATTTCAGCGGTCAGTGGCGCAGCACACAAATTTATGAAAGGTAAAAATGGGCCTGGGTTTTTAAAAATTTATTGCTCAACACGTTTTTAAATCGTGCTTATTATGTGAAACCGATATTTGAATAAACTAGCAAAAATAGTAGAAAAAATGTGACCAAACGGCTGCAAAAATGTATATCAATATGAACCGATAATTGAAATTCATCGCTTTCTAGATATCATCATTAATTTAATTAATCAAAGATTAAATGCACTTTGGTTTTTAATCTTTCCCTGTGCATGATGATTATTCGGCCTTTTAGGCCGTCGTGAAAAGTTATTTGTTTTTGACGTTTCGCAACCACGCCTGACCTCCACCCTCAGAGGTTAGGCACAGCCACTTGTGCTTGCAAAATGTCAAGTAGAATTTCTTTTCCACGGCGGTCTCAATGCCCAAAAGGATCAGTTTCAAGCAATGGCCGCGAATACCGAACTCAAACTTCATTCTAATTTGTATACTTGAAAAACAGATATGATACTCGACAAAATTGTAAAAATGTATCCGAATATACAATTTCATTGTCTTCCAGTCAAAATGTAGGTCAATTTTTTCGAAAAAAACACGTCTGGTGCCACATTGAGATTCATCGGAAAAGAAAACACTTTCGGATGGAAGTTTCGAAAGCGATAAAACGCATGAATTGTATGGAAAAATGTGCACTTATATTTGAATTGGTTAATTTGGGTTTGGACGGAATGTTGAGTAGAAGATGATTGCAAATACAGGATTACCATACATACAAAACTATTTATAACAATTGTGTTTTAATCAAAATCATTGAGATAAACTGGAAAGAGTGAAAGTTTCGGTTCTGATTCAAATAGTCATTTGTAGTTCATGAATTGCGAAAAAAATCGGTTTCCTATCTCAAGTCAATCTTTAGTAAAATAATTATAAAAATGCAAACTCGTTGGATAACCTTGTCGACCATAAACCATTGAATAACCCTAGAAAAGTAACAACTTGAATGTTAAAACAACAAGAATCAATTGCCCAAATAAATGGCACAATAAATTGACTAGATATACAGATGCTGCTAGTGCGTATTTAAAAGCCCGAAAACTATCGAGTGAAATTTTGCTATGAATAGATTAAATTAATTGCGTAAATTGAAGCGTTCTTGTGATGTATGCGTACGTCTGAATATAACAATGATCAACTAATTGTATGTAAATAAGAACTCGAACGTGTGAAACGCATGAGAAAATGTTGCGCAAATTAATCTTAAGATGTAACAGTAATCAATGGCAAACTTACCTTTTCTAATTCTAAGAGGTGAAACCGGAGTACTTGTATCGCCTGCACCATCTGCAATTGAAAAAAACCGATAAATAACAGTACCAGATATTGGAAAACATATTGACTAATGGTGTATTTTAAAACTAGGCTTGAACCTGCATTGGTATCCTGAAGCAAAGGTGTCTGCTTACTTAGATGGACTTTACAAGTGCTTTGGGTAGTTAAAGTGCTTTGTGACCCTATCAGATGAACTCTTAATTGCGCTATAAATAATGTGTTTTGAGTGCCATGCACAGTATCACTTAGCATATGAAATAGTCCCCTTGTTATTGAATTTTATTCGACTTTTGGCGACTTTAACGAGAGTGGGTAATTTAATCTCATTTACCTTAGATATATCTATTTCGTGGTACTAAATTGGGTACGCCTTCTTAATGCGAATCAGAAATAAATATTAAACCCACCATCAGGTACGGTCATTAAGGGCAAAATAAACCATAACTAACCCGATCGTCTATAGGCAATTACTGGACTGACAACGTAGGCTCTAAGAATTCCATTACAGCCAAATTATCTGTAATAGAGCCGAGCAAATGCACGCAAAAGATAAAACAATCCATTGTTGGAGCGTTGCCGGTTAATTTTCTGTTTCGTGAGTCTGACTGTCTGGTCGCTCCAATCAGAGCACAGCACACCTACGCCTCTCCTATAAAATACAGGCCCAGACACTAATTTGCCCCGGAAAGCAGTGATTTATCTAATAACGCTCGCTGCTCATTGTTACAACTGGTAGTAATGACACCGTAATCCACCGTACCATGGTAATGCCCTCGTTTTCGTTAAAGAAGTCTCCATAGTTATCGTTGTACTATTGAATTAAATTGCAAGGTTCTCAGTACCAGATTGGTTCCTTTCCTCAAATACATCAAAGCACCGATTTCAAGTTTCAACAATTAATTACCCTCAAATATCATGCAAACTGCGCCGTGTGCAATACAGAATAACTACCAAGGAATTTACTGATATACACGCCTCTCTCATAGCAACTATGCAAAAAAAATTCACCCTGATACATGACCAGATGAAGTACCATTCGTATCACAAAACAGTAATTGATCATGTAAAAGTATTACGGGTTAATGATATTGCTGGATTCGGGACAAATCTGTGAAGCCCAGTTAAGCACCTACTTCAAGAAATTGGTCGACTTAATCTTAATTCCCATAAGCCAAACATAAGCCCTCAAGTGTCTACAAACAAAAACTAATCCGTTGGTTTCTATCCAAATTCATAATTTTACCATTTTCGGAATATATAAAATAAATTGCATTCGTTACCAAGCTTAGAGCAAAAATTATATGTATGCCATTAAAAGAGTAAATAGCTCTGGAGATGCAGAACTGGGCACGACTACAAGATGTCAAACTCAAAACGATTTTTCAGGGTTCAAATCGAAGGCTTCAAGTGCCTACCAGCAAAAACAAATCTTTTGACTTTCAACTCGAATTTTAAACTGACTCATTTCCAGACGCCAGCGCAAAAATCGAGAAATTATTTCTTGAAACGAATCTGATTTCTTCCATTTTCTTGTTGGTTTGGGATGTTTAGAGGAAGAAATATGTGGAGAATACTCCACATTCAGTTTTCCATGTCCGATACCGAAAAATGCGGAAATAGCAGAAAAAATTGCAAATAATGAAAGTCAAGCTTTGCAGTGAAAAATATCATGATATCAAGAAAACTTAAAAAAGTTTCTAGGAGTTCAACACAAAATCAACACAATAGAGTGTAAAAATACCAAAATTTCCAGAAACAGACTGTTTTTAATAAATGCTGAGACGTTTGTCCAAACTCAAGGGAAATTAAGCAACTGTATAAAAGTGTATCTGTCCTCTAATAAAACAAAAATGTTTGTAACGCTTGAATTAGTTAGCGCTCCAATTGATACTAATAATGCCAAACAAATCTATTGCAAGTTGAAAAGGAAGCAGATGCAAAAATTCATAACATTGCAAATAGACTGAAAATTTATCTAAAATCAAAACTTCAACGATTTTGATAATTTTCATTTTACATAACAATGGATAATTCTCAATTCATAACATTGCAAATAGACTGAAAATTTATCTAAAATCAAAACTTCAAAGATTTTGATAATTTTCATTTTACATATCAATGCATAATTCTCAATTCACTCTCATTTTATAATTCTACAGATATTTTGGAGAACTGATTTTTTTTTAAATATCATAATCCATAAATAACATCTAATAAACATCTAGAACACTAAAGCTGATACTATTCGAATGTTGAATAATTTTTCTCAAAATTGCATGAGTAATTCCTGCAGAAAATGTATTTACGAAAGTTAGCGGAATCAACTGAATGGGAAGTAATGTGTGCAGACTTTACTAGTTAGAGTTTAAAAAAAATGCGAATTAATGCAATTACAAAATTAAATTATACCCAATAGAAACCCAGCAGGGGATAATGACCACACTTAATCGTAAATATGTCTTTTCACAGATAATTTATTAAACGAATTGGGGTCCTGTTTAAATATTTGCTGACAATATTTAGCGTTTTTAAAGTTCGTTTGCTCTTCGCACCTTTTATAATTGACAATGGCTGCTGCATACGCCAAAATGAATATTTACTGAGTAGGTGTAAGCCATAACGATCTACACAGTTAGCACTGGAGATACTTGTATGCATTGGTGATGAAATAATTAGCGACATTTTATGCGTACTGATAAAATATTAAACCAGCAGAATCTGTATATGTTATATTTAATTGATGATGTCAAGACTGGGGATTCCTAAGAAGAAATATGATAACGCCGTTAACCAATAACTGTAAATAAATATCGTCATTGAATACCAGCGGGAAAGTTTTTCGAGGAAAAAATGGCATGCAAATACAAAGTTTATTCAAAATTGAAACGCAAAAATCAGAGATAAGTTCCACACATTTTGCCTCTATCCTTAACGTAAAGTAACAGCAATAAAACCATCACTATGCGTATCAGAGGCTTGTTGCCAATTTATATGCGTGTTATAAATCCAATGTTGAAAAAATCCTTGTACTTATCTGAATTGCTGAAAAGCCAAACATAAATTATGACATTTTTTGCTATGAAACCAGGAATTGCATAAATCATCTATGAAAATTAACAAATTAAGCATTAGAAGGCACTAAGCTTTTAGAATAGGACTTAGAGTAGAAAATAAATAATGTTGAGATATCAATCTACTCAAACCACAATATACTATTTGCTACATTATTTACACGGCGCAAATTGATAGTTGCTAGAACAGTTTTTCTCGAATGCCGGAAAATGTTGGTGAATCCTGCAATACATAAACCACAACTTTCGTGGAATACGGGTAATACTATTTTTATATTGGAATTAATTGCCAGTTTCAAATTTTCAGACTAAATCTTCAGGTCATCACTAAAACATCACATCATCAGTCTGCTAATCTGCACGAGGGTGCAGAAAATTACCATTTTCTAGACTTGTTAAGTAAAAACTCTACTACTCCACTCAACTCTCTAATAGACCTAATGATCTTGCAAATTGCCACGTATTTTAATCACAAGTAAAATGGTTCAAATAGTAATAAGCTCGACCATTTCCCACTGCGATGAATTCTATCTCCATCATCTAAAATCCAGTGCATGATTTGGTGATTAATGTTAAGTTAATGCTCTCACAAGAGCAACACTATGAGCCATAAACCTGATGCGCTGCCGCTTAGTCGTCTCAGTTTTACTGCTAATTTTCTTCGTTTAACTCAGTTACGATCTATAAAATTCTTCCGAGCGGAAACCAGAGTTAAATAAAATTTCATAAAATTGGTTTTATCAATCTTTTGAGAGTGTTTCTATTCAGTTTGTTTTATGACTCCACAGCAGCAAGTTGTTGACGGCATTCGTCAGAAAGTTATCTACTCCACATTATTTTATATAAAAAATAGTATTAATTGCTGTACCTATTTAACCATTTTTACAGTTGCTTATGAAAGAAGTGCTTGAACACGGAAATAATGCAGGTGTTATCTGCGTTTTTCTAAGTAAGCTCTTGAAAAACCATTTAAACCAACTTTAAAAACTGTAGCAAAACTAATTCGTAAACTGATGTAACATTTTTGTTGCTCATGTGGAAGTTTATTTTACTAATTAATTTTTCAAAACAATTTTGTTTTTCAGTTCATTTTATATTCCAGTTTTGCTGTTTTTCCATTTGACCAAGCTCAAACCAAGATAAAATATTAGGCAAGGAAACCGGAAGCAATATTTTCGCCAATTTGCTTAGATTTAAATCTGATTAGAAAGCAAAAGTGACAGATTTTTCAAATCAATTTTACCAATATATTAAAATAAGCATAAACAGCTTGAACCTATTGTAACACAAATAGATACCAGATACTACAACCAATTTGCATACATTGAGATTATTCTTTGTGTAAAGCTGTCAGCAGGAAGATTAGATCACCAATAATCTATTGCGTGAAGATGTTAGGGTATTATCTCTCTTCTCCTTTAAAAAAACTTTAACAGAGACTTGCGTATCGCTTCGAGGCTCAACAGATAAAGACCGTTTGTTGACCTTCCCCAAAATGGCGAAGGCTCTTAAGTTTTTATCTTGAGAGGAAGAAACTTTATCGAAATCAACCACTAAAGACTATATTTAATAATATCATTTTGAAGCCAAACGAAAAAAAGGAGCACTTTGTTGACCTTCCACAAGAGAGAAACAAACATGAACGTGGAAGCCGTCAATGGAAGCCTACCCACTGTGACCCGAGACGGATTTCGTGTGTGGTCCAAACGCAATTCAGTGGTATTTTTTTCAAGGAGGTTATTAAAAATATAAGTGTTCCTTTCATGATTTTTTTTATAACATAATCTGTTTACTTTAGTCAGTGCTAGTGGTTTAGATTAGATATTTGAGAACACACGAAGCGGGCTACGCCCATATCAATATGTACAGGATAAATCGACTTCATTTCAAAAGAACCAACGATTGAAGGTATTGTTTAAAAGAAGTTTTCAACCATGAAAGTAGTAAGTGCTCCTTTAATGGGAAATAAAGCAATACCACCTATTTGCCGCATATCAAGCAAGCTCAAGGCAGCTTTATTAAATATTATGTTTCTTAGTAGACAAAATAAAATGCACCTTTGAGAAGCCCATAAATCAACAAAATAATGAGGTGTGTCAGATGTGTTTTAATTGCTTAAAAAAACCTAAGAGCTCCATGCCTCAACAACTGGCAAATCCTCTATAGTTGGCAAAGAACATTTGGGTATTCATGCATCCTAAATTCATACCAACCACTGTGAAATTGCTGTCAGGTTGGGCAGTTGTTTTGGCAGGTCGTACTACCTTAATTCAATTAAAATATAAAATTGTAACGTGTTTAGTGTCTATGAGGAAGAACACGATTAAACATTTTAATTACTCTTACAGCGTTTTCAGAAACAGAAAATATCACGCTGACTGATTTCAATTAGTATTCATAATTGTAAACATGCAATTTTCATATAGCTATTGTTGAAATCATGAAATCCGAATTGTTTTCGACGATGTAACCATGTTGATGAAATCTAATTGCGTTCAGAGTACATGCAAGTTAACTATGAACGATTTTATGGAACTGAACTTGTTCTGTGCAAAATTGTGTCGCTTTCTTTTACTGAGTGAAAACACTAGTTCCGACAACATTTCCAAATTATAGATTTAGATTTTTTGATTGATGAAACAAAGGGAAGAACTGTTTTAAAATCTTCGATCAGTCGCTCATTAAAAAACCACCTCTAACAAACCCAGATGGGATGATTAACTTAAAGCCCTAAATTCAAGTGTTCGATATCCCCATCATGTGAACCGAAAGAGTCCTTGCCTTAACTACATAACAATGTTTGCATCTTTTCGGTGTTTATGCATTCACACCCGCACATCATACAATTATTCTTAATGTGAGAACTGAAAAGGGGTTTGAACTAATTCCTTAATTAAGTTTCGTCAGTAATGGTATTATTATTGACGTATATCGAGGGTGAGTGGCATAACACCCGGGCACCCAATTTTTAGTAACGCTCGACGGGTTTTCCATAATCGCCCATGGGGCTTTTATTGAATTTTGCTTTTGGAATACTAAATAAGGTGATGGTTCATTTGCAGTGCGATCGAAGGGCGTCAAGCTAGGATAACTTTTTGCAAATTTGCGCCACATTCTTCTCGAATACTAAACCGAATAAACTAACTTGGTATTATCCGAATTATTTAATTCAGTCATTTATCTTTCGAATGAACGTGTATGCATCAAACGTAAATTTATCTTTCAAGTTTCAATTGCGCGCCATATTTATTTATTATAAATCTGGGCTTGTTTAAATACACAGTTGTTGTTTTAAGTGGTATAGATATCAGTTCGAGAGGAATATTTTCACTGATACATTGTATATTTACAATGCAGCGAAAACATAGACATCGTTACTTTACTTTAAACAAAGATACTACCTATTTAAATTGCCTCGAGTTGAGGATAATTTCGTTCTATTGATGTAACAACTCGAGATCGGTGTAGTAGGATGGATGACTTTCGTTTTTTTCTGTTGTTTTAAATTGTAAATTGGACAGGAACTTATAATGTGGTTTTGATTAAGTTTAGGATTATTTCGATAATGGCAAAAGGACCAGTTGGAACTGATAAAAACCAGGTCTTAATTTGTGAACGCGTGGTCAAAGTGATTGTGATAAGAAATGAGGCAGCTGCTCATGTCCATCTTTTCTACACCGATACGACTGGAAAAGGTCCTTCAGGTTAATTATAAACGGTCACAATAAGTTGAATTCTATAGATTTCGCCCTGAACTGAAACTCACTTATACTCTCCACGAATTTAAGGTCCTTAACGTTCCGAGAATCCACTAAAAGCGACATGTAATCAAGGAATTTAGAGAATTAATATACAGAAAAGGCTCTCGTGAAATGAAGAAAAAGGACTTTGACTGAGAACGATTTGTTCTGGTATTAACAACAATGTCAAACCGAAAATCTAAAAGGGTCGACAAATTCTTAAGAAACAATTAAACTGACCACTGCCCTCTCTACGTTGAAAGAATTGTATAGGAATAAAGAAGCATTGAGTGTAGAAAAGCCGCAACAATTTTGAGCAACAAAGCCAAATATTCTATACAAACCTATTTTAAAAAGTATTACAAGTTTTAAAAAGTGATAATAAACTTAAAATGTTTCGAGGTTTAGTGCATGGCCAATTGTTAACATCGGAGTTTTATTTGTTTGATTTATTTGATTTGCTTGCATTGATTAGTTGGAAACTAATAACCCACAAAAGAAGTTGTTACAAAAAATTAAACATACACAACTAAATAGAACATCTTCATCCGATAAACAAATCCAACATTTTTAGTTTACTATTAACATTGATAAGTATTATTTGGTAAAAATTGTGGGTATGGAGAGATACGGATTGGAGTTAGCAATATTGTTCTGTCGTTTCTATTAGAGATTCTAAAGAGGCAGCAAATAATTAGTACTTAAATGCACAGAGTCTTTATTATTCATAAATCTGGGGGGCACTGACAATATTGAAGATTTTAAATATATAGAAATCCCATTTCCTCTTGGATCGAACAAAAAACCTAAGTTCATTCCAGAGGTGTATGCATTTAAAAATAATTCACTTTTTTTCATTAATACATTTATTTAATTATTATTATTAATAACTTTCTTGGGAGAAAAGAGTAACACGTAGTATAAAAATTCGAAATATAAAAATTCTGCAAATGAGTCACTCAATACTAAATCTATTACCACTTTTTCATTATTCCCTTTATAAATATGCCTAGCACTAATTTGCGTAAACAAATCTTTCCTAAATACCTTTGCCAAGTTCAAAATTCATTCATTTAAAATTTGAATAAGGTAATTTGCGGTTCAATGCCATCGGATTATGTTTGCCTGATTATCCAATAATTCATAAAAAAAACAAATGAAACATAGCTATCTCAAATCAAGAAATGTAATTCTCTAATGGGCTCCTAACCGAGCAAATAAAAAAAACTTTCATTATGAGCAATGCCCAATTAGAAATAGTTCCACTAACCAATACGAGATTAAGGATAATTGTGAAATACATAGATCAAGTCCAAGTGAACCTAAAGCAAATTATGCTCGATGCTGGCCAAAGTTTCACAGCAACAAAAATGTAAAGTCTCCACTTTTCGTAACTTCCGTAGCGCCATAACATCGCTCACATCGACTACGTTAATGTAATGGTATGTTTGTATTTTTAGGCATCCCGTCTTCATTACTAAATTTCTACGTCGAAACCACTTTACTTTTTCAGTTTTGTTTAATTGGACGTATGTCATAGAAATACTCGCGTCTCTAGTATGTTATGCATTATGTATAGACAAAAATAGCCATGACCTTTTTGAATTGTGTCCAGAACACTAATGTTGTCTTTAGTTAGGTAGTGATGTCCAAACAAGCACAGTTTTCCGAATTTAATTTATACGAAAATTAATTTCCCTTAAAGTTGATATCATTCGGCAGGCCAACAACGTGTTATGTAAATAATAAAAAACGTAGTTTGCATACTTATATACATATATGATTATTTAATCAAATTAATCCTACAATTTCGCAATGCTACAGCGATAAGATCTGATTTTGTATTAATTTACACGACATTCGATTATCAAACTGGGTTCAAAATCACTGGTTCAGCACCGCCTGCGTAAATAGGCAATTAAAAATCTAGGCTGTTCAGTGAAAAGTTTTTTTTTCAAATATTTACATAAACGATGTTGCGTAACCACCAGATAAATTAAAAAAAAAGAATGTTCACTTACTAATGAGTCGACTTCAGGGTCTGCTATATAATAAGGTTTCTCTTGACGTATCTGAAACAAAAAGCTCAAATTAAAATTCCATAAAACATCAAAGCTGCGGCAAGGCAGGACTTTATTATAATATAAAATACGTGGTGTTGGTACCCTGTTATTTAACGGCAGTTTTCTAAAGTGAGGGAGCTTGATCGTACGGCGTCGATAAAGTCGACTATTCGTCAAGACGTTATTACATGGAGATCGGGTCCTCCTCCTAAAATCCACGTGCCCCAACCGCTTTTTGTCCCATTCTCATATTAATTATAGCTATTTTCATGTGACTTTTAGCATATTAGCTTAAGTATACCTTTTATACCTCGACTTTGGGATATAATATAGCTGTCTAACTCGAAACAGTTAATCAAACGATTTTTTCAAGTTTGTTCATACATTTACTGCTGGTGAAGGTACTTTAATAATAATATAAATAAAATAATCCAAATTAATAAGCTAACAATTGTGAGTTATTATTTGCAATTATGGTTAACAGTCGTGGCACACGGCATTGACTCAATTATGAAAACCATGTTCGGAGTTTTGCATTCAAAGGTACAAATATGTTGTTGTTTATGATATAATGGCATGTCACCGTAGATAGTAAGTGCAAATATTTGTTTATACAGTCTGCAGTTATTTATAATTCGTACGTCATCTTCTTCTACGAAACAAGAAATGCATTCATAATTTTAGAATGAATTGCGTCCTGATACGTTGTTTTTGACTATTTTCGCTTCGTATATAAAATTGCTGCAGTCTGAGAATTAGAGCCGTTGTCAAATTCTAGTGGATTAGAACTGATAATTCAAATTCGTTTTTCAAACACAATATTTTTTTCTCTTTCGGATCTTAACAGGAGTTAATTGTCTCATAGAAGCTACTATCATATCCAGCCTCAAGCGTACCTGTTTCCTAGTGGATTGAAGGCTTCTTAATTGTGAACTATTACGATCTCTTAATTAAGAGACAGATTCAGACACACGTTATGCTAACAAGCACATGCAGAACGCTCGCTGGTCCTTCGAGCAGAATTTGTCGGCTAATATCAATAGTCATTATTAACACCAACTAAAAATCTCACTCAGAACAATTAGTTTAGTTAGTTAGTTACATATTTGGCAGATAAACATTGCTAGTAATTTCCATATGAGTGTAAATGGGTTAATTTAAATTGCACTTTGCCTAATTGGCACAGAACTGATTTTTGCGAAAGTTTTGAAAAATGATAGCAGGTCAAACAGTGTGTAAGAAGATTTGAATGACTTGTGGTTGACTGTCAGAGGCTTATGGAATATTCGGATAAAAGCTGAACTTTAGCCTATAATTTCGGACAGATGCCGCCCACACAACGGTCGCATGGTCCGTAAACAGTGTAAACAGCATGAGATCGAAATAAATTCGGACACCTAAAATAAGAAGCCGATTTGAAGCCCACAAAAACTTAAAAGTATCTTTTTAGCCGAGGCAGTCCCGCTGCGTTTCTTCATAACCGCTGGCTGGTCTGTTTAACTTGCTTGGAACCTTCGGGTTCAAAATCACCTGCCGTTGACGCGGCGTGCTAGTAATTTATAGCGGGCCCGTAAAATAATTTATGTCTGACTGTAAATATCCAAACAAGAAATTTATGGTGCATATTCTTCTCGTGCTATCCCGATATGCAGAAAACAGCACGAGTTGTTACTTTTATGACCATCGGAAACATCCTTTGTCTTATTAGTGCCGGTTAATGGGATCCGGGGTGTTCTATGACTTCGCTTAACGACCGTTCATTTATTTCTGATGAATACGTTATAACCACCACTTGATTCGGCCAAGGACTGACAAACTTATTCACCAAAGTGCATAAGTAGCTAGTTAGCCAAACAGAAAAAAGTCGCAAAAACATGATACCCTAATTTGAACTTGCCGTGCATGCAGCGCTCAAATATGCAGATTATCCAGCCAAATCGATAAGAAAATTTTCTTTGCAGTTACGTTTTATTAAGGTGGATTGCTTTTCGTGACAGCTACAACTAGAAAATAGCTTTAATTTCAGTTTTGCTTCCCTTCGAATTTTATCGACACGCTACTATTAGCAGCAATTAAGCCGGCTTTTCAGATACTACATTTGAAAATGCTGTAAATTATTAAATAACGGCGAAATGCAAAGAAATATTTGACGATTTACAAATACAAAACCTGCATGGCTTAGCAACAAATTGATCTAGTATTCTATGAATAAATACTGGACAAATAATGTATTTCTATATCCAAATGCATGCATTATAATATAACCACCCTTGAATTTACTTGCTTTTATCAACAGGTAATATGAAAAACAATCCATTGCACATCCAATTATCAAGCTTTAATATGATCAGGTGTAAAGATTTGTTGTAACAATGTGTTGAGAAATTGGAAAAGTTGATGAAAATATCAAAGACCTACGATTTGGTGTAACATTAATTCGCTTTTAAATAGTTCTTTTTCATTTTTGTTAATGATGTAAATTTCCTTTTTTTTTGTTCCACAATTCTTGACCAAGTCGTCATTTCACACATATTATTTATTTTTATTTTTGCACTTTACACATAATCTTATGGTATGGCCACCCATGGAAACTTCTTTCTTCAAGAATACCCCTTCATGATTTTGAGAACAAGCTCATATATGTGGTATAAAATGTGCCCAGAGAAAGCTTTTGTATTCTCAGCTCTTTCAAACCCACTCTTTTATAGTTCCAGTACACGTGGTGTTTAATATGCTTATAAAATGATGGCCATAAAACCTTAGCCACTAGGTGTTTTTGACATTCTTAATGTCAAACAGTTAATGCGTTTTTCTAAATTGCAAACCTGAGGATTACTTTAATAAAAATATGATACATTTAAGCAAAAGGTGTGGGTTTGACAAGAACAAAAGACGTTATCAAATGAAAGCGATCGGCAATAATTTTTCATACCAGCCACTAAAGTTGAGTAAAGCACAAATACAACTTTGGTTGTTTGTCGACCTAATAGGAGTGCAACTTATAAAGTGTAAACTTTTGAAAATTGGCCATACAATCTAATCATCTACATCTACATTTTGCAGCTAAATAATTCTCAATCGAAAAGTTTGACGGTTTTTCTTACATGTGTGTAGTTCTCAATTCAAGAAGCAGCTGCAATAGCTATATTTAATAGATTTCGACGAAAACATCAAAAATAGTATTTTAAGATTTATCGAACAAAGTGATATTTAAGTGAACAACTTAAACACATTGCATAACATTTTATCGCATTCGCAGGTAACTAAAAACAATCGCAAGGAAAACGTGGTTTCGGACGTAAACGGTTATAAACTTTGTGGAACTAGATGATATTGAAATCAATCATTTTCTTAACTCAATACTTCGGCAACTAAAACACATTGGCACAATCGCCACATGTTTTGGCGCATCTCAATGGAACGACAGATAATTAAATCAAGGCACAAAAATAAGGAAACCATCTTCGAGAATTTTCGATGCAAACATTTTTAAACTTATGAAGTTACTGAAAGCTAATGAAGCTAATTCTGTACAAGCCTTGTACAGAAAAATAGCGAAATCCCAGTAAACCAGGCAAATTTGTTTAAAACTCGTCGACTTTTCAATTGAATGAAAAAGGACAGACAGCAAACGACAGCATATGGTAAAATCGGCATGGTTTTTGTTGCATAAACTTAGTGATGCGTGCATCTCGGGCCATTGTGAAAGACGATGTTCATTTTGCTAGTAGAGCCGAAGGGCAATTCGGTGAATACATGGCGGTCCCATCCCCTTACTTTCCTCTCTCCAGGGGTTTAAAACAACAATTATAAAGAAACGCAGAGGTAGGTAGGCTGCTGAAACCGGTGCGGCCTTTTTCACGATTGAAATCTTTGTTCTGCCAATTCGTTTTCCCTTGAACAGATCAAATGCATCTTTGGGAAAAGGTAATTGCGCAAATTCAACGGTTGATTTGATCAACTCAAATCCTATATGTGGCTTGAGTCATCACGGAGGCCATTATCAAATAATCAGATTTTGGATAGATAAGATAATTTCATTTGCTTCTCTATTGGTCTTAGATACGAAGGGGCCGTATGAATAACATTAGAACTTGATCGGGTTCATATCATTTTTAATTTAATTGGGCTGGCTAATCTTCAGTTTGAAACGATGGTAAAACAAACACACGTCTAGTTTGTATTGGCTGGAATCGTTTTAAAGGCGGGTACACTTCATGATAGTTGGAACAGGAAATGTATCCAATGTATTTCTAATGATATGACCACGACATCTATCAGATTATTAATTTTTAGTTTGTGACAAGAAAATTACAGGTACAACACATATCAATGGAATCTAAAGGTAAGCTAATGAATGCCCCAGTAGCTACAATCCGACATCAATATTCAAATTTCCACATAAATTGGAAGCTATCGTTCGGTTGTGATATCTCACATTGATACGTTTTTTATTGCAGCTAATTCTTTTGACGCCCAGCATTTTTAGTTCTAACTTCAACTACTTGAGGTTCTCTAATAAGTTTTAACTCGACCTGAAGACTTTTATAGTAAACAAGGCAGTAGCTTTTTGGAGGTTTAATTATATTAAAACTCGTCAGTTAAATAAAAATAAGACGCGTTCCCATTAGCTTTAGAATTTTAATTATCAAGGTATTGAAATAATGAAAAAATAAAGTTAGTTTGAGTTCAAACGCATAGTGACTGGTTTGGTAGTAACTTACTGTGTGGACGCATCAGTCGGTATCTTTGCCATATATTAACCATGATTTGAAATGGATAAAATAATGCGAAAACAGACTTTTAATGGCATAACGACGAACTTGTATTTTGCTTCTATAAACACCCCAGCATCATTCACAGACTATTTCACAGCAGACTTAAAATTCTTTTAACTTTTAATCAATTTTTCTGATTACAATCTCGTTATTTTCGTTATTCATTTAGTGCAAAAAATTACTGAATTAGACACGCAATGAGGCCTCGATTGGATAACCAATACAATCAAA